CAGAAGGCTCGCAGAAGGGCAGAGGAAAACTCACCGCCTCTGTCGGAGTGCAGACGCAGGACAGGAAAGTCCGAGCCGAAACTCTCTCTGAGCTGGAGACGAGCTGCGCGGATCCAGTCGATCAACACCTCAGTGACCTCACCCTTGCAGCGCAAGGGGAAGACTGCGGTGTAACGCGAGTAGTCGTCAACCACCAGCAGGAAGTAACGCTCGTGACCCTGTCCACGGACGCGGGCTGGGCCCCACACGTCCATGTGAAGCGTCTGCAGCGGAGCCTCTGTCGGAGGAAACTCGGAGGAGTGAGGAGCGGCGCGCTGCCGCCCCTCGACGCAGGGAACGCAGGTGGGGCCAGGCCCCGGAGGAAGAGAAGGGAGGGACCGGGGGAGACCCGAGACAAGGAAACGAGAGGCCATGCCTCGGAGACGAGGCAGGGAGGGGTGACCAAGGCGGTGGTGCCAGAGGAGAGTCTGGTGAGACAGGAGACGACACGAGCAGGGGGCAGACTCAGGACCAGACCTGGACGATGCAGCAAACACCTGACTCGACGCAGCTACCTGAGGAGACTCAGTAGTCAGTGTGTACAGGCTCGACCCCGGCTGACGGGTAAACGTGGCCAAGTGTCGGCCCGTCCGAGCACACGTACAGTTGGTCACTCGCTGACGCGCAGGAGTGAACTGGTCAACCCCTGCGTCCTGTAGGTCAGCACCACTCACCAAGTTCGTAGAGAACGAGGGGAGGTAAAGACCTGACAGGGTGCCAGAAGGGGCCGCCGGACACGGTAAGACAGTGGAGAAGTGGGCAAGGACGGGACCCCCAGAGGGGTCTGCCAGGGAGACTGCAACCGGCCGACTAAGCGCGTGAGTGTGGTGCGGTCTCGAAAGAAGGAGCGAGAAGCACCCGAGTCAAGGGTGAAGGTGTGTAACACCTGAGACGACGTGGTACCTGAGAGAGCAGAGTCACCCGCACCTGGGGCAGCAGACTCACCAGCACCTGGAGGAGCAGACTCACCAGCACCTGGAGGAGCAGACTCACCAGCACCTAGAGCAGCAGCCTCACCAGCACCTAGAGCAGCAGCCTCAATGCCCGGGTCAGGCGGAACACACAGGTAGCAGTCACTCACATCACTAGTAGGCAATGCATACATGGCAGTGAGGATAGCATCATAGTCAAGAGCATAGATATCTACCCTCTGCCTAAGCAGCTCCACCCAGTCGGGGAGCTCAGCGGCGTCGCCAAACTCCGTACGCCAGACGTCGCTCAGACGGGCGAAGCAGCGGGACTCGGCGTGACCAAGCGTCCCGCAGGGCTGACCAGTCCGAGCACCAGTGCGAATGACGTACGGACAACGAGCAGTACTCCGTGACCCTCCACGCTGAGCGTACCACTCACGAAGCTGCTGGGGCGAAAGGACCGCGCGCGGACTACGCTGCAGCTGCGCCTGGCCACTACAAGTAGCTCCCGAACTCCTCACGCCAGAACGACTCTCACCACGGCCACCCCGACAACCCCAAGTAGCGTACCACTCACGAAGCTGCTGGGGTGTGACGGACTCACGCGGACGTCGCTGGAGCTGCACCTGGCTACAGCGAGGAGCAGGAGGAGCAGTGGTAGCCGCAGTAGCAGCAGTAGCAGCAGTAGAAGCACTAGCAGTAGTCGCAGCGCGGCCACCCCTACAACCCCAACTAGCGTACCACTCACGAAGCTGTTGGGGGGAGAGGGACTCACGTGGACGGCGCTGGAGCTGCATTTGGCCACGCCAGGAGCAGCAGTAGCAGTAGAAAGAGCAGTAGCAGCAAGAGCAGCAGTAACAGCAGTACGGGCAGGGCAGTGCTCACCAGTGGCGAGAAGGGCAGGCGTACGACTGCGGCAACGGCGAGGCGGCTACCACTGCAGGGCGAGGGCTCCGCGGCTGCTCCAGGGGCGGCTGCTGCAGTGGCGACTGCGCCAGGGGCGGCTGCTGCAGTGGCGGCTGCTCCAGGGGCGGCTGCTGCAGTGGCGGCTGCTCCCGGGGCGGCTGCTGCAGGGGCGGCTGCTGCAGTGGCGGTTGCTCCAGGGGCGGCTCCTGCAGGGGCGGCTGCTCCAGGGGCGGCTGCTGCAGTGGCGGCAGCGCCAGGGGCGGCTGCTGCAGTGGCGGCTGCTCCAGGGGCGGCTGCTGCAGTGGCGGCTGCTCCCGGGGCGGCTGCTGCAGGGGCGGCTGCTCCAGGGGCGGCTGCTGCAGGGGCGGCTGCTCCAGGGGCGGCTGCTGCAGTGGCGGCTGCTCCAGGGGCGGCTGCTGCAGTGGCGGCTGCGCCAGGGGCGGCTGCTGTAGTGGCGGCTGCTCCAGGGGCGGCTGCTGCAGTGGCGGCTGCTCCCGGGGCGGCTGCTGCAGGGGCAGCTGCTCCAGGGGCGGCTGCTGCAGTGGCGGCTGCTCCAGGGGCGGCTGCTGCAGTGGCGGCCGCTCCAGGGCGCGGGTTAGGGCAGGGCGCCGCGACGGGCAGGGGCGACGAGGGAGCCGCAACGGGGCCGCGAGGGAGCCGCGGAGGGGCCGCGACGAGCCACGAGGGGCCGCGAGGGGCCGCGTCAGGACCGCGAGGGGCCGTGAGAGGGGCCGCGAGGGGCCGGGAGAGGGGCCGCGAGGGGCCGCGAACGGCCGCGGAGGGGCCGCGAGGGGCCGCGAGGGGCCGCGAACGGCCGCGGAGGGGCCGCGGGAGGGGCCGCGAGGGGCCGCGAACGGCCGCGGAGGGGCCGCGAGGGGCCGTGAACGGCCGTGAGGGGCTGTGAGAGGGGGCCGCGAGGGAGCGGCTAAGGGGCCGCGAGGGGCCGAGACAGAGGGGCCGTGAGGGGCCGTGAGTGGGGCCGCTAGGGAGCGGCTAAGGGGCCGCGAGGGGCCGTGAGAGGGGCCGCGAGGGGCCGTGAGTGGGGCCGCTAGGGAGCGGCTAAGGGGCCGCGAGGGGCCGTGAGAGGGGCCGCGAGGGGCCGTGAGTGGGGCCGCTAGGGAGCGGCTAAGGGGCCGCGAGGGGCCGTGAGAGGGGCCGCGAGGGGCCGTGAGTGGGGCCGCTAGGGAGCGGCTAAGGGGCCGCGAGGGTCCGTGGACGCGGGGCGCGACTCGGGCAGGAAAAAAAAAATTCGAATTTTCGGTGGGCCCTAGGGATGAATTCTCTATACCATGTGAAGAAATGAGGGATGAATGAACTAGCAAGCAGATGGGTACAAGTAGGAAACCTAGAAATGTTGTACCCTATAGTGTCTACCCCACTACACCCTAGATAGACCATAGTATATACGTTTGACAGTTGCTGCTACTGCTACCGTTGTCTCTGCTGCTTCCGTTGTTATTTCTGCTACTGCCGTTGTTGTCTCTAATGCTGTCGATGTTGTCTCTGCTGCTGCCGTTGTTGTCTCTGCTGCTGCCGATTGAATTGTTGCTAACGCCCTTCTTCGTTCTGCCTCAGGTATAGTGTGTGAATACCAGAAGCCGCCGGGGCTGAAATCAGGGTCAAGATCCGGTGGATGTGTCCAGGAAGTGAAGGTCACTATTCCGTCGCTGTCGGCGGTGCGTAAGTCTGGAACGAAGTTGAGGACGAAGACATTGTTCTTCAACACCGCCTTCCCGATGTAAAGTCCGCCTTTCCCGTGGTACAGCTTGAACTCCTCAGTGGTGCTGTCTGCTTCGAGGTGAATCCCTTTCGCCATCAATTGACTCACACTTAGTAAGTTGTAGCCGAGTCCCTCCGCGATTAACACCTTTGACATCTGCAGTATCACGTTTGTTTCTCTTGACTGAAGTTGAACAACTCCTTGTCGTCGTGTGCGCAGGTTTTGATTGTTGCCAACGGTGATGACAACTTCGCGCTGGAGTTGATGTTCGCGTTGAACGAAGCGACCCGAGGAGCACATATGCTGTCCGCAGCAACTGTCCAAGAACCAAGTGTCCTTTCCTGAAGGCTCACTCTGGGCGATGGCTGCATGTCGGATTTGGCTCCAATGTCTCACGACGAGGAGTGCCTTCGTCAAGTTGTTCTTCTGGTGAGTAGTGCGGTGGGGACTCAGTGATGCAGAAGTCTGTTAGTTTTGCCATGCAGCTCACGATATTTCTTGCTCCTTGTGCAGGTTTTGTCGAGACTTGAGCTTGAGGAGTTGGATGCGCTTGTGTTGAGGTGACTAGGCTGCTTGAAGGTCGAAGCTGCCGTTGTGGCATTGTTGACTGTCGCAAACTTGGACAGTGTGTACGGGGGTGTCCAGACGTCTTGCAAAGATGACAAAACGGTGGTACGTGCTGCTGCTGTTGTTGCTTATTCTGTCGGTTGGAGTTGTTGAAGCACCGTGGGGTGTGAAATGCGAACTCAGGTACTGATGTCTTCCTTTTGATGTCGTTCCTCGTGCAGATCCATATCTTGCTGTTCGGCGTGAATTTTGGCGCAGAGTGCCGCTTCAGAGATTTTTCCGTGGGCTCGAAGAATGGCTCGAGTGGAGCGCCAATGAGGACCAAGACCGCCAATGATGAATGTGACGAAGGCGTCTTCCGATATTGACCCTCTGCATTGAATAAGCTTGTCGCGCAATTCGCGACAGCGACTGATATACGCCATCCCTTTTTCGCCCGGTTTCATTTCTACTGTTGTCAGCTGTGCCATTAACCGACTCTGGTTGACTCTGTCTGTTGCTTGATACAGGTTCTTCAGATGATTGTACGCGAGCTCGGCGGAGTTCCCGTATCCCCGGTAAGACCGAATGTTCTGCTGCTGATTTGGAGTGATGTTCCTCAGCAGAATTGTGTATGTCATCATTGACTGATATGTATACTGTTGCTTGTCGTACTGTGTCCCGTGTGTTGGATATGGCAGGGACCCGTCGAAGAAGCCAAGAATCTGCGCGCCTTCCATCATCAGCTCGAACTCGAATGACCAGGTAAAGAAATCCTTTCCGTCGAACGGTCTTGATATCCACACCCTTACCTTGTGCTTCTCAAACTGTGTAGGTTCCAGGTTCCCCCACCTACTTGGGACCTGGTCTATGCTCCCATGCTGCTGGGCCTGCTGGTGCTGCTGGTGGCAGTGCTGCTGTCCACCATGATTGCAGTACTGTCGTGGAAAAAGAGGAACTTAGAAGCAGATGTGAAGGAGATCCAGCTGTGCACGGCCATCTTGGAGAGAGCTGAGCGGTCCAAGAGTGAGGCGGTGGCCAGCACGTCGCATGAGCTGCGCACCCCAATCATTGGCATGATGGGTGAGAAAGGGCATGAGATGATGCATGGGAGCATGGCATGATGGGTGAGTGCATTGGCATGGTGGGTGAGTAAGAGCATGGCATGATGGGTGAGTGAGAGCATGGGATGCTGGGTGAGTGAGAGCATGGGATGCTGGGTGAGTGAGAGCATGGCGTGATGGGTGAGTGAGAGCATGGCATGATGGGTGAGTGAGAGCATGGCGTGATGGGTGAGTGAGAGCATGGCATGATGGGTGAGTGCATTGGCATGATGGGTGAGTGAGAGCATGGCATGATGGGTGAGTGAGAGCATGGCGTGATGGGTGAGTGAGAGCATGGCATGATGGGTGAGTGAGAGCATGACATGGTGGGTGAGGCAATGTTGGGGGGATGGATGGGGTCATGTCGTGGTGGGTCTAGGCATTCGTGCATGCATTGCACTATTGCTTACTTGAATCTATTTTGTCTGCTAGTGTTCGGAAAAAGTATCAATTTGCTGCAAATTCCCCTCTTATTGGGTTTGGATGCATACTCTTTACCACCACCGGCAGGCATGATTGAGGAATTGTTGGACTCTTCATTGGAGGAGTGGCAGCATGAGGACATGCGGGTGGCGAGGGCGTGTGCGGGCGAGACGGTGGAGCTCATCAACCGAGTGTTGGACCTCGCCAAGCTGCAGGCCGGTAGGCTGCAGCTCGAGACTCTCCCCCCCCTGCTGCCTGCGCCGCATCGTGAGCGAGGCGACTGCAGCTGTTGAAGCAACTGCTTTAGGGAAGAATCTGAAAGGTACGGATGCGCATTGAGCCGCTCTTTGCTTTGTCTTTCAGAGCTTCGCGAGTATCATGCTTTGATAATTTGTTTGTTTGTTTGTTTGTTTCCTATTTTGCTAAAAATAGTGACATTTTATGTGGATGAGAGCGCTCCAGAAACATTACTCGGCGATCCAACCTGGCTTTTGCAAGTGATGTCTGAACTTGTCTGTAAATTGTTTGGTGAAAGTGTGTAAGAGGTGCGTCAAGCCATTAGTAGTTTATTGAACAAAAAGGGTTACTTGGTAATTTCTTATACGGGGAGATAAGTTATCGTGACACATAGAGTAGTTGTCACTTATGTACGATGCTTGGATAGCTTTTTGTCCGTACTTAGAGGTGGAATCAGACATAGAATCTCAACAAAAACGGGTTTAGGACTTGAGATGGGGATACCTAGTTTTGAGGCGCCTCAAAACTAGACTTGAGATGGGGATTGCTTCTTTGGTATCCAACAACTTTGAGCTAACAGAAGAGAAGGGACTAGTAGTGTTGACCAAATATAACTAGCAATTCGAGAACACACGTCTGAATCGACACAATTTTAGTTCGACAGGACAGGAAATATGGGGGGGGTTTGGAGCTCCGAATTTCTCGATACCCACTTCCCATCACCCCCTCTACATGCTAGTCTATTCCGACGTTCTTAGCTTAATTCCTTCATTTTTTTCCGTTTTCACATGGAATGGCTGATGATTTGGTGCCATAGAGTCCACGCACATCGTTGCCTTGATGCAATCCACAACATGAGCTAAGCATAAAGAAGAAACCGAGCTAAGGCAAGCCGCTTGGCACGCCACATTGCCAGGTGGTGCCATGTTCGTGCAATGTTATCTGTGCCCTCACCTAACCGAACCCTTAGTGTGTTTCTTCCAGTATATACATACATACACTCATGTATACATATATACACACACACACATATATATAATGCAAGGCTGTTCGTGTGTGACTATGATGATGGGTCGAGACAACCGAACTGAACCGATTTCTTTATGGACGCACGAACCTCGAATCTTGACCAGTTCACAATCGGTTTGAACAAAACAGATTTGTTTGGTTCGGCGCCCCCCTCAGTGCGCGTCAGTTTAACACGAACCAACTTGAGTTTGGTGGTTGCTCAAATGATGATGCTGCTCGTCAAGTGAGCTGAAGGTGGTGATGTCATCAGTGAGTATGGAAGGAAGGCCATCATGACATGGAAGGAAGGCCATCATGACATGGAAGGAAGGCCATCATGACATGGAAGGAAGGCCATCATGACATGGAAGGAAGGCCATCATGACATGGAAGGAAGGCCATCATGACATGGAAGGAAGGCCATCATGACATGGAAGGAAGGCCATCATGACATGGAAGGAAGGCCATCATGACATGGAAGGAAGGCCATCATGACATGGAAGGAAGGCCATCATGACATGGAAGGAAGGCCATCATGACATGGAAGGAAGGCCATCATGACATGGAAGGAAGGCCATCATGACATGGAAGGAAGGCCATCATGATATGGAAGCCCACTGATGGCACCATGAACATCACACTTCCTGTCTCTCCCCCTCCCTCCCGCCATCTGCCCTCCACCTCACCAGCAGCTGGCCACATAGCCATCCGCCTCTGGTGCATCCCTCCTCCACATGCCACCAGCACGTCACCTTCTCCAGCCACTGCTGCCACGGGCTCCACGGAGCCCCCCCTGGCGGCCTCAGCATGGCATCAGCTGGCCGGCTGTGTGCGGCGCTTCCCTCCGGCCACTTGCCTGCTCTGCCTCCCCCAGCACTGCCGAGCCAAGCAAGGGGGGCCTGTGGGCAACAGGGGTGGGTGGGCATGTAGCAGAGACGGCATGGGCAGTGCAGTGAAAAGGGAGGGTGGGGTTGGGCAGTTGGAGGAGGAGGTGAGGGAGTAGGTGGAGGGGGCGTGTGCGGTGAGGGAGGAGGGCGAGTGGATGGTGGTGGTGGCGTGTGAAGACACGGGCGGTGGTATTCCACCCGAGGAGCTGTGGGGGTTGCTGGACCCACATGGCCTCGCTTGTCACTCGCCGCATGACATGCATGGCAACGGGCATCATAAAATCATGGTGAGTGCTCGGATAAAAAAAGCCTCAACAATATCAGCATGAGTACTTACTGGAATTTATAATTGTGTCTAGCCTTGCAAAATCTTCTAACCAACATTTGAAATACCTAGATTGAGTTACCCATTTCTGGGTTTGAGTTGCAAGATTTCTCGTTTTTGAATTGTGATTTAGCAGGAGAGAATGCGGTCGCTTGGGAGGGCAAACTCATGGAAGGGCTCAGAGCGGCAACGGGAGCGCAGCACGTGGGATCCGAGGCAGCGCGATCTCAAGGCAGCCCCTAGCCCCCATTGGACGCCCTACCCTGTTCGCTTCCTGCTCTCCACCTCCCTTGTGAGCACTTTTTTCACGGGTATGCACGTCCTTTGGGAACCGTTTGCATGCTAAATCAGATGTTTGATTTCGTCAAATCGCGACACGTCGCGTGATGTTCGTAGAATATCATGACATCAGTCTGTACATGTTGTTCTTGCCATTGTTGGACTGTGTTTGGGATCAGTTTCTCTTGTCCTAAGCATGATCTTCTGCCTGCTTGCTTCACATTTTATTGGTGTGCTTTTCGGCGCGCATTTGATACTACTTGTATCCCCTTGTTCCTTTTGTCGCCACCCACCCACCGGGCCTCTTGGGTAATTCAGATTTGAAACTGCTCGTCAAGTTCGGGCCATGGAAAACACGCATCAGATGAAAGTGGAAAGGAGTGCAGAAATACGAGAAGTAGTAGATACGAGTATAGATGATGCAAGTGCGGTAACATGTGCATCCGGGCAGCGGCTTTGCATTGTAGCGTTGACTGCTGACTTGGATGCAGGGATCAAGAGAGCATGCTTGGAGGCGGGGATGGATGGAGCAGTGAGAAAGCCAATAGTGGCTCAGGAGCTTGCTGTAGCGCTCTCAGCTGTAGGGTTCATACAAAGTTCTGAGTTTAAACAATCCATTCAATACAAGGCTCAAGCTCTACCTTAGGGGAAGCTACCTATTCCCTTGTGGGTTTTATTACCGTATTAATATTATTTTTTATAAAGTTTATTCTTTGTTACTGTACCATTACCATTGTAGTCTGATCATTTATCACTTACAGTTTCTATATTGTTGGGCGGTGGGTGGAGGGTGGTGAAGGTAGGGCTTGAGCCCCATCAGAATGAAAGTATTGCGAACTCTCAGAACTTTGTACAACCCCTGCAGCAAAGAGTGCAGCAGCAAGTTCATGAGCCACTATCGGCTTCCTCACTGCTCCATCCATCCCCGCCTCCAAGCATGCTCTCTTGATCCCTGCATCCAAGTCAGCAGTCAATGCTATAATGCAAAGCCGCTGCCTGGATGCACTCGTTCTTGTGCCTGCTTCACCTACACGTGTATTGGCTGATTCGCTAATATCCGCACGCGCTTCAACCTTCGTCTGTTGTGTGTCTTCCAAGGCTCGCAGTCGACGAGCCGTTTCAAATCTGATGTACCAACGGCCCAATAGTGGCAATAAAAGGAATAAATGAAGGCAGAAATACAAATTTGTGAAGAAAAGCACTAACAATGACAGGACTAACAATTACAAGTTGATATAACCAGCATGCAAGCAGGTAGCAGCACAGAGAAGAGGTGAGAGGGGGAGCACGGCACGGACCCGTCGATGCCGGGCGGCATGTGGAGGTCGAGGAGAAGCAGGTGGATGGGCGGGGAGGGCGTGGCAGAGGAGAGCGCTTGCAGCGCCTCCTCCCCGGAGGAGAGCAGCAGCACGTGCGCCCCGTAGCCCTGCAGCGTTCTGCGCGCCACCATGCGGTTCACCGCGTTGTCATCCACCACCGCCACCCCCCGCCCCGTCACCACCCCCCGCACCACCGCCTCTGCCTCCCTCACACCCTCCCCGCCCGCCCCGGCCCGCTCCACCTCCGCTTGCGGAAACGTCTGTCCATGCACCAGTGCTCGCGCCCCTGCTGCCTGCAGCTGCTGTGGTGCTGCTGGCTGCGCCGTGACAGCACTGGCCGGCCCCACCGTGCCTCCCTGCGATCCACTTTCTTGTCACACACGCCCTCCCATAGTTCCCCCTGTCTTCCCAACTTCCCCCTTCCCCTCGTTCCCCGCTCTGCTGCCGGAGTCCTCCCTTCCCCCCATTGGCAGCGCCAGCAGAATGGTGGTGCCTGTGGCGGCGTCTGACAGCACTGCCATGCCCCCCCGCATCTCCGCCACCTGTGGGGAGAAAGCAAGGTGAGGGAGGAAGGGGGGGAAGAGGGGACCGGGGGGTGGGACAGGGAGGGGAGGCATGGGAAGTGATTTTCTGAAGGAAGGAAGGCTTGATTATCAAAAGAAAGGGAGGTTTGATTACAACAAAAGCGTGGAGAAGGGATCTACGAGTATGGCACTTGATAGGTACAGCAGGAAGCAATTACGAGTACACCTGTGTTCAATCAATATCAAGTGGTGCCAAATTTCCTATTTGACCAAGTAGTTGGTCCTTAATGAATGCGATTGAATCCGAATGCAAACCTCAATGCTTTGTTTAGGCCAAATAAATGCTTGGAAACATAATCTTGTCCTCAACTTTTTACTCAGTAAAATCTAGAACTTAAAGGGGGTTATGGCGGGGGGGTTCGTGGAATTTACTCAGCTTGATCGAGAATTCGAGTGCTCGACAGTTACCCGATCTTGCACGCAAGTATTAAAGGGGGATGAGGGAGGTCTCAACTGCTTGATTAAACTGTGCATTCCCGCGAATATTCTACGAACATCACGCGATGTGTCGCGATTTGACGAAATCAAACATCTGATTTAGCATGCAAACGGCCCATCCATGTGCTCCTTCCGGTGACGGCCAGGAGCGACATAGCGTGCTAGGATGCTAAGAGGGTATGCAAGGTCAGGTCGAGTGCAGGTCATCAGGTACATGAGGCAGCCCACAAGCTCTGGATACGGGCCACTCGGCTCTACGGACTCATCCAAAGGCAGAGCTGAGAGCGAGTGACCGGTAGGCAGAGGAGTGGCCTGAGGCGAGAAGTACGTGAAGCGGAAGCGCTGAAGGACCTACTGCACCATGTGTGACTGAGTCAAGGTGGTGGTGCGCTGTGCTCTGTCCCGGGTGATCCGCAAGCCAAGATAGCTTGTCACTTCACCCAGGTCTGTGCACGTGTGTCTCTTCTGCAGCTCCGACTTCACATGGGCAAGTGCCTCAGTGTCAGTAGTAGCAAAGACCAAGTCGTCTACGTAAACGAGAACGTAGAACGGCGGCAGAGTGGTGTCGGTGCGTAGAAACAGCGACGGGTCAGCAGTAGAAGGAGCAAACCCAAGAGCAGCAAGAGTAGTCCTCAGTGTGTCGTGCCACTCACGGGGTGCCTGGCGGAGACCGTAGACTGGCCGCCGGAGGCTCCACTGGGTACCAGGAGGGAACGACCCAGTGAAGCCAGGTGGGCGGCGCAGCCAGATCTCCTCGTGCAGGCTGCCCTGTAGGAAAGCAGTGCTGAAGTCAAGAGAGTGGAGCTCGTAGTCACGCTGAGCGGCTACGTGCAGCAGAACCCGAAGAGTGGTCATCTTCGGGGTCTGGGAGAAGGTCTGGAAGAAGTCAACTCCCTCTCGCTGACTGAAGCCTCGTGCAACGTAACGCGCCTTGAAGACAGGCGGAGAACCCGGTGGCCGCTTCACCCTGAAAATCCACATGCCACTGACGATGTTCGTCCCAGGTGGGGGAACCTCGTCGACGTAGGTGCCTGTGGACTTCCAGGAGGCCATCTCTGCGTCCATGGCTGTCTGCCACTGAGAGGAGTAGGGACCCTCCATCGCCTTTGCGTAAGAGCTTGGGGTCGGGATGTCTGGTGCATCCGGGTCTCCCTCAGGGGCAATCAGCATGGACACGAGATGAGGCAAAGCAGCGGCAAAGCACTCAAACTCCTCCTGCGTGTCCTCAAGGACGTCCGTGCCAAGAGCACACTCACCCCCGACGGACGGAGGATAGACAGACTCAGACTCAGCAACAAGGCTAGCGGCGTAGTCGAGACGACAGGCGGCAGCAAAGTCAACTAACTCAGCGACTAGAGCAGACGCAGCAGAGGACTCAAAGGTAGGGTCAGTGATAACAGTGGCGAGGAGACGCGTGACAGTAGGACTGGCAGCACGAAGGGGGTCAGACTCCGGGTCAGCAAGAGCAGGAAGAGAGGACGCTGGAGGAGACGGCAGAGGGACACGCTGTGGAGCAGTGGAAGGACGCAGAGTCATGTAGTGAGTGCCAGGGACAGGAGGAGGACGCTCGCGCAGAACACGACGACGAGCACGGACAGGCGACTCAGGACGAGACTCAGGCGACGCAGGACGAGACTCAGGCGACGCAGGACGAGACTTAGGCGCACGACGCTCCGTAAGACCTCTAGTCGGTCCAGCGTAAGGAGAAGGACTAGGTAGCCGAGAGGCAGGCTGTAACTGTGACTGCGACTGGACCGGTGGTGGACTCAGTAGGGGAGGAGTAGGACCAGTAGAGGGCGGGAGGTCAAGAACCTGGTGAAGGAGCGGAACGTAGTACGGCCGCGGCCGCTCAGCACCTCCTGAACCCGCAGAGACAGCACCAGCACCCTCAGCTCCAGGGTCTCCAGCGACAACTCCCGCAGCACCACCAGTAACCCCAGCAGCTCCAGTACCTCCAGCTCCAACCCCGGCAGCAGCTCCAGTCCCAGCAGCTCCAGTACCTCCAGTACGAGCACCTCCAGAACCAGCGGCTCCAGCAGCTCCAGCACCAGCAGGACCTCTAGTAGCTCCAGCACCAGTAGCACCTCCAGCAGCACCTGCACCAGCAGCACCTCCAGCAGCACCAGCAGCACCTCCAGTAGCTCCAGCACCAGCAGCACCTCCAGCAGCACCTGCACCAGCAGCACCTCCAGCAGCACCAGCTGCACCTCCAGTACCAGCAGCGCCTCCAGTAGCTCCAGCACCAGCAGCACCTCCAGCAGCTCCAGCACCAGCAGCACCACCAGCAGCAGCTCCAGCTCCAGGGTCCAAAGCACCAGTAGCACCACTCCGGAGACTGCAGCGCCGAGCGTACCACTCTCGGAGCCGCTGGGGAGAGGGCGGCTCCCGCCTAGGCGGGGAACCACGAGCAACAGCTCCAGCAGCACCCCTAGCCCCAGAAGCGCCCCTCCTGAGGCTGCAGTACCGCGAGTACCACTCACGCAGCTGCTGTGAAGAGGGAGCGCCTCCAGGCGCCGCACGGTCAGTCGCAGCACCCCCAGGCTCAGTACCCTCAGACGTAGCACTCTCAGGCTCAGCACCCCCAGACTCAGCAACCTCAGTCTCAGCACCCCCAGGCTCCGCACCCCCAGGCTCCGTACCCGCAGGCTCAGCACCCCCAGGCTCCACACGCTCAGGCTCACCACCCCCAGGCTCCTCACCCCCAGGCTCAGCACCCCTAGCAGGACGAGAGTCAACAGCTACCTCGACAGGCTCAACCGGGTCTACCTGGGACACACCTGAGTGAGCGGCACCCTGAGGGGGGAGGGGGTCTACCACAGCAGCACCTGGTGCGAGGAAGAGAGGCGGGGGGGGGGAGCGGGGCAGTGCGGTAGGGGAAGAGGCGGTAGTAAGGGACCGACTCGTCGAAGGTGACGTCCTGAGAGGGCAGGACACGGCGTGAGGTGGCGTGGTAAAACTGCCACCCAGACGCGTCCGGGACAAAACCAAGGAAGACACAAGGAACAGCGCGGGAGGAGAGCTTGTCCGCGGACGTATCGCGGACAAAAGCACGAGATCCCCAGACCCGGAAACGCGACGCATCGCCAACCTTCCCCGTCCACAGCAGTGTGGGCGAGGTCTCCGGCAAGGAGACACGGGGCCAGAGGTTGAGCTGATGCGCGGCGTACCGGACCGCAAACGGCCACAGAAAGTGGGGGGCAGCCGCATGGATCAAGGAGGTACGAGCGACCTCCATGACCAAGCCAATGCGGCGCTCAGCAACCCCATTATGTTGTGGAGAGGCCGGAAGCGTGAACGACTGCTCAATGCCCTCCCCCTGACAGAAGGCCCTCAAGAGGTCGGAAGAAAACTCCCCACCTCTGTCAGAGTGCAGACGCAGGACAGGAAAGTCCGAGTGGAACCTCTCGCTGAGCTGGAGACGAGTAGCGCGGATCCAAGGGATCAAAACATCAGGGACTTCACCCTTGGTGCGCAAGGGGAAGACCGTGGTGTAACGCGAGTAGTCGTCAACAACTATCAAGAAGTACCTCTCGTGACCCTGTCCACGGACGCGGGCTGGGCCCCACACGTCCATGTGGAGCGTCTGCAGGGGAGCAGTCGTCGGGGGAAACGAGGAGGAGTGAGGAGCGGCGCGTTGCCGCCCCTCGACACAGGGAAGACAGGGAGGAGCAGGCGAGGGTGGGAGGGGAGGGAGAACCCTGGGAAGACCGGAGACAAGGTACCGGGAGTGCATGCCACGAAGGCGCTGCACTGACGGGTGACCAAGGCGGTGGTGCCAGAGGACGGTCTCGTGCGCCAGGGAGCGACACGAGCAGGGGGCCGACAGCTGACCTGACGCAGACGCAGCTACCTGAGGGGACGCAGTGGTCAGTGTGTCTAGGTCCGACCCCGGCTGCCGAGTGAAGGTAGCCAGGTGGCGACCCGTCCGAGCGCACGTGCAGTGTGTCACACGCTCGTAGGCAGGGGTGAACTGGTGGACACCCTCGTCCTGGAGCGCACTACCCGCCACCAAGTTCGTAGAGAACGAGGGGAGGTAGAGACCTGACAGTGTGCCCGATGGGACCGCAGGACAAGGGAGGACAGTGGAGGAGGTCGCAATGACCGGACCCCCAGAGGGGTCAGCGAGGGAGACTGCGACCGGCCGAGCAAGCTGCTCAAGGGCAGTGCGGTCACGAAAGAAACAGCGGGAAGCACCTGAGTCCAGTGTGAAGGTGTGCAGTGCCTCAGTAGACGCAGTACCAGAGGGCGCAGACTCACGAGTACCTAGAGCAGCAGTCTCACCAGCACCTGGGGCAACAGACACACTAGCACCTAGAGCGGCAGCCTCACCAGTACCTAGAGCAGCAGACTGGATACCGGGGTCAGGCGGCACACACAGGTGACAGGCACTCTCAGCACTAGTAGACAATGCATACATGGCAGTGAGGATAGCATCATAGTCAAGAGCATAGATATCTACCCTCTGCCTAAGCAGCTCCAGCCAGGAGGGGAGCTCAGCGGCGTCGCCAAACTCCGTACGCCAAGTGTCACTCAGACGGGCGAAGCAGTGGGACTCTGTGTGACCACGTGTCCCGCAAGGCTGACCAGTCCGGGCA